AGAGAAGAAGCCGCTGCTTCGTCCTCCTTAGTCACCTTCTCCAGCCACCCTCTCGAGTACCAGGGAGCCTCGTTATTTATTGCTAACCACGCATCATAATCATACATCACAGAAAGGGGCAATACAATTCATTCTAGAACAAGTTTGATCACTCTGTCTCACATAATAAAAACAGACAATTACTATCCTGGGAGGCATGCAAGTTCCCTGATAGTGGACAATAACCTGAGTCACCAGGAGGGGTATTAACATAGGCAATACAAGCAATAGGAGGGGGATGACCTAGGGGTGAACGTGCACTAATAAGAGGAGGGAATAGGGGGGCATGTGTGGCAAGATAGTAGCCTAAGCTTAGTCATCTTAGAGTGGTCCCGGGCTTGCCTATGGGCACTGCTTCGAGGGAACAATAACAGAAGGGAATGGGCTTTATTTAGGGTGAGTCAGAGTAATAGTCTGGCCACTATAGATGACTGATGTTAAGGAGAATAACCTCTGACTTACTTTCGCTGCCTAAAGAACAGTCACGCTAAAGCAGCTAAGTTTGGTACATATTTTGGGGAGACAACTTAAGAGAAATCCTTCTGTTCCCCAGTTTCATGTTGCTACACTGCACCCTGACTGGCTCATCTGCTCCCTGAGACCTTTCTGTAAGGGGACATCCAGTTGCCTACAGATGGGTCTTGGGTCCCCAATCTGCACTCTCCCTCATAATGATTTGATTTTTTGTTCTTTGATGCCTGATACCTGATCCCTTCAACACCTGATCACACAGGCTGTAAATCTTTTAAAAAACTTTGTGAATTTGTTGTTTAGAGCAGATGTCAAATTCACATTCAACAATTCATGTACATTTTGTCTCAGTTCATCCATTGCTATCCCCCCTCAATTATCCCATGTTCACCGTTTTCTGTTTCAATTCCTCCTGGATGTTATCTTGGCTAAAAGGCTGCTTATACTATCAAAGTGTTATTGTTCCCCTCAGAAAACTGTTTTCCCTTCGCTTTATTGTAAATCTTTTGGTCAGTCAGCTCATCTCTTGGTAGTGACGGAGGCTTAAACTGCTGACCTGTGGTTAGCCACCCAATGCTCATCCCATTGTCACTCTGGACCCTTTATTCATAGCGTACCAAAAAAAACAAACTCACGGTCAAATCAAGTCAATGCTGACTCATAGTGACCCTATAGGACAGAACAGAACTGCCCCGCTGGGTTCCTGAGGCTATAAATCTTCATGGGAGCAGTCTCATTTTTATCCCTTGCAGTGGCTGGTGGTTTCAAACTGCCGACCCTGCTGTTGGCAGCTTAATGCATAATCCTCTAGGCCACTGGGCCTCCTTTTTTATACCAAGGGACAATAAATTTATCTTCTCTACTAGACTGTAAGCTTTTGGACAGTTGAAGACAGGTAAGGCATTTTGCCTCCAAGTTCTCATTGTCAAATGTAGCGCATTTAACGTTTGTTGACTATGTTAAAGCCTTTGCAAGCTGTATATAATAGTGCTGTATAAAAATGATAGTACTCTTAAATTGCTTATTGATGAAATTTACTGAATAATTACTTGTAGTACCTTAGCTTTCTTGCATCATTATTCTAAATTTTCATATACAAATACACGTTGAACAACAAAAAAATACAAAATTATGCAAAAGTTGGTAAAGGAACTTTATTATGCATCTTAGGTAGATCCTTTCATTCTACTAACAGAAAAGCATTTCTCCATTCACCTAACCATCAAGTTAATACTTTTGACTGATCTATTGGAAAAAAAAAAGGTCTTTTTACTTGTTCTTGGATGCGATTACACAGTAGATAGCTCTTCCTCCAGAAATAAAAGCATTCTCTATACTAAAACTCAAGACAGTGTACTGCTTAACACACAAAGAAAAGGAAACATCTGCCGTCGTCCGTTAACCTCGGTGCAGGAATGCTTTAGCATCTGGGTTTTTACTGCACTTTTCACATATGATAGGTGGACTTGTACCACAATCAAGAATAGTCCCCTTTGTACATGACATTCTCAGAGACTGGGGCACTAGCATGGGAAACAATTTTTGGGGGATTAGTATTATACAATGGATTAAAAAAAAAAAAAAGCCTTAAAAATTTCACAAATGTTTGACTAAACATCTGAAACATATTTATCACAGCTTTCATATATTATAAAACGTTTCCTCCAGAGATGAAGCTTATTTATGAAATAAAACCTAGTCGCTATCATCTGACCCATGTTCTGAGCCACGATCTGAAGCCTCATTGTTGGATCCCTCTGGTTCGGATTCATTCCCCGAGGCTCGGACAGAACCCTCATTATCAGATCCTCTCTCAGAATCTCTATCGGACTCCACGCTCGGAGAAGCTGGGCGCGAGTCATTCTCCGAGCCCGCTGAGCGGCTTCTTCCCGACTGCACAGACTCGTTGTCAGACTGTTCCGAGCCCGAGAGCCTTCTCTTCCGGGATGGCTGGTCACTGTCTGAGTCCTCATCGGACCGCTCTCGGCGGGGCCTCCGAGGACTGCCGGCCTCGCTGCCAGACTGAGTCTGGTTCTCATCCGACTCGCTCTCCGACGAGGCACGTTTCTTCCGCCGCTGGCCTTCATCGGAGTCGCTGTTGCTATGTCTGGGATGACTGACAAAGTTAAGTATGGGTTAGAAACGGGCCATTTGGCCCCACTGGGTCCCTAAGGAGCAGACTACGTGCTTAAAACAATGACATTTCACATTCTATTTCTTGACCTGGATGACCTCTGCATGTGTTCATTTTGCAGTATTTGTTTGGAGTGTTTTTCTGCCCAGCTACCATCACTGAACATGTTGAGCAAAGAGTCTACAAAAATGTTGGTTAAAAGGGAAGAAATGCAGAACAGAATTTAAACTTCTCATGGACTTCATGCTTTCTAGAGTAAGAGCTGCTGGATGAACCTCAAAACTAGTATACTGAGATCATCTTTAAAACTTAAACTAAAAATATCCCCTGAAGTCTTCTTAAAACAGTAGTTTATCTCAGAGCTTCTTAAACTTTTCCCACTCAAAACCCATTTTTGGCCCAAGAAATTTGCAACAGGACAAGAGCTACCAGAAATAGCTCAGATTCATTGCGCAGTTGATTTTTATCATTGCATATTCAGAAACCGCTTGCTGTTGCCAAATTTTTCACAACCCACACGTTAAGTGACCCCCAAATGGGGTCATGACCCAGTTTAAGATGCTTTGGTTTAGTTTAAGTGGTCAAGAATATCTGCCTTTCTCCTTTAAGCTCTATCTCTGTGGGATCAAACAGCTCACTAGGGAGGGTGGGGCTGCGGGCTATGTGACTGCGAGAGAACAGTGGGAAGGGGAAGGGGAGAAGGCTGCACGTGTCAGTCATCAGGGAACCATACATGGAGAAATGAACTGGTTACGTTCTGCTGTGCACATTTGCAAGAACAATGCGATCATGGAACAAAATGCACTTTAGTTGTAAGATAGAATGTAACAATGATTTTATCGGACACTTTGTATAAGAATGAAGTCCCTCCCAGTTACCTGTGAAAGTTTGAAGGAATACATTTATTTTTACCAAAAAACCTAACAGCAACAAAGGCGGACTCTAGCCCCTCCCTAGGCTACTGAGACTGAGACCTAGTCCTTTCCCAAGGCTGGAAAAGTGGGAGGCTTTCCTGGAATGCTTCTGACCAAGTCACTTGTATCTACCCTGGAGTGAGTCCCTGTCCCCACCATCTGATTAGGGCTACAAAGGTAGTGCATTACTTCATGCAGGGTCTTCCAGCTGTCAGCCTATGAAGCTGGGGAGAGAGGACACTGTGACAGTTAGCACTCCCGGTAATCTATTTCCTCACCAATTTCCAAAAGTCGATTTTCCCTCTTAGAAAAAGACAGTGTCTTTTCTTCTTCTAGCCCAGAAACCTGAGTAACAATCCTGTTTGATTTACTCACATCATTAGAAAAAATAAGTTATTACAGGAAAAATTCCTACCCTTCATCAGCAATTTTAAGTTTATCCTCATCCGAAGAATCATCGCTTGACGATATTATGGCTTTGGATTTTATTTTTCCCTTCATTGAAGGAGGCAGACGTTCTGGCTTGGGCTAAAGAATGTTCAACAGAATAGATTAGTCAAGACTTGTACATTAGAATGTTTTTGTTAAAATGATTTAGCATTATAATGATACAATCAAGCAGCAACCAATTAACTCTGAAAACAAGTAGCTGTGCTTCAGAAAGCTGCTGGAGGAAACCATGCATTCTAGTTCAGTGCAATGCACCATGCCGACAGAGAGACAACAACAACAACAAGACGGTACTGGAAACTTACCGCCCGTTTCTTCTCTGCTTTTGGTGGGCGGCGTTTTTTCTGTCTCGGGCCATTTTCTGTATCATCGTCATCAGACCCTTCTTCTCCCTTTGCAGGCCTCCAATAATGAACACCAAGAGTTTGTCAAGATTTACCCATGCCTCCGAAGTTAAGACCCCCCACTTCACCATTGACATGCTCTTGTTGCACATGGCTCAGGAGTCTTGTTGACTAATGGAGTCGATCTACACGTGCACCATACACAGGTGCAGTGACAGAGACTGTCAGAAAGAATCTGAATCCCATCTTTTTTCTCTTCTTCCTTCCCAAGCATTCAGCCCAGGCCTGCTACCACCAACTTCCCCATCTCACTTTTACAGGTAGCCTCACATTCCACAGTGGAATCACATCAAGCAGTATTATACAATTGCTACCACAATCAGTTTCAAAACACTTTCTTTCTTTTTAAACTCCTTGATATCAGCTTCACTTTGTTCCCTTCATCCCCCAAACTCTTCTTTTTTTCCTATAATTTATTGTTTTTTGTTTTTGCCTATCTTACACATTCCAATATATCCATCCACATACTATATACAGTCATCAATACTATCAGATCCCACCCACCCCTCCCTTCCTATGCTCTCAGGAACTATTACACACTCCTGGTACTGTTTTTGCAGGGTTATCTATCTTGACTTTCATTTGCCGGACAATCTTAAATATACGTGCACAAATCTAACATGATTAATGAGGTAAAACAAAAACCTTCATAGTAAGGGAAGGAAATATTGAAGAACCGGAGGATAGTTAAGTGGTTCATCAGTGCCATGCCTGCCGCTTCTGTGTGGCCCTTCTGTGAAGGACTGTCCAATCTTACAGGTGGGTTTTAGGTCTCCACTACATCCACGTCCCTTTCACATCGTTTCACATAGATTTGGTTGCTTCTTTTTGAACTTCTGATACCTCTTCCCGTCAATACCTCATGATCACATGTTGGTGTGCTTCTTCCATGTAGGCTTTGTTGTTTCCCTGCTAGATGGTTGCTTGTTTAATTACAAGCCTTTAAGATCCCAGACACTATCATCTTTTGATAGTCGGGCACCACCAGCTTTCTTCACATTTGCTTATACACCCATTTTGACTTCTGCCATCGTTTCAGGAAAGTGAGTATCACACAATGCTGCATAATTAGAACAATCTGTTCTTATACTGAGGTAAGATTTAAGTAGAGGCCCAAAGTGCATCTCCTTCCTTGTTGCATTTGCATATATGTACATATAAATACACACACATATATATTTTTTCCCTTCTTTCCTCTCCCCCACCCCATTCACAGTTTGAAGTCCATAGGTCTGTGTTGAATTGAGCTCATTAAATTCTTTCCCAGTACAGTGAGCGGAGGCTAGGAAATGTGGTGTGGGTATGCTAAGTGAATGGAGGCTCCTGAACAGAGACGCCTGAGAGAGACAACAGGAAAGCCTGGCAGACATGTCCAGGCGAGATGGACACGGTTCCCTTGATCTTCAGAGCAGATGACATTCACATCTCATAGAGCCAACAGAACTGGAATGTGGGCACTAGTCATTCCATTTCACAGAGAGGAAAGCAGGTTTGGAGACTTTTCTTACATTGTACACTTAGTTCATATAGGTGCATTCACTCTAAATCCTATAGATCGTCCAGTAGTATTAATAACCACTTTACAGACACAGAGAATCTCTGGTGGTGTAGTGGTTCTGAGTTGGGCTGCTAACCCTAAGGTCAGCAGTTTGAAACTCCCAGCTGCTCTAAGGGAGAAAGGCTTTCTATTCCTAGAAAGGGTTCCAGTGTAGGAAACCCACAGGGGCAGTTCTCTCTGTCCTATAGGGTCACGATGAGTCAGCACTGACTCATTGCCAGTGAGTTTGGTTTTGATTTGGTTAAAGACATAAGAAAGGCAATTATGAGTGACTAGTAGCTCTAATAGCGCACTGGACTGCCAATGACAAGGTCAGCTCTACCTCCTCAGCCATTCTGCAGGACTAAGCTGAGGCTGTCTATTCCCGTATACACTTACAGCCTCAGAAACCCTTAGTAGGGTTGCCATGAGTTGTAATGGACTCAGTGGCAGTGGGTTAAGTAGCTCTTAGAAAGTAGTGGTGGTAAGTGGACATATCAAGTACTCGGGGTTTAAAATAGGGCCTGGGTTAAGATTACAGAGGGGATAAAAGGCTTTAATGCCTGAGAAGATCACGTGAGTACCAAACCAAACTCGCTGCCATCCAGTCAATTCTGACTCACAGTGACCCTATAGGGCAGAGCAGAACTGCCCCTGTGGGTTTCTGAAACTGTAACGTTTTTTTCTTTTTGAGATTGTAACTCTTTATGAGAATAGAAAGCCGCCGTTTTCTCCCATGGCACAGTCAGTGGCTTTGACCTGCTGATCTTTTGGTTAATGGCTCACAGTGTGTAACCTGCCACCCCACCAGAGCTTCTACCAAGGAAGTACTAGGCGTTCCTAAATTTCCAAACATGTAAAAGATTCAGAGGGTGAGAAACTCTTTGCCCCTCTCTAAGATTATTTAAAACCCATGAAGGACGATAATACCTTTTCCTCTTCTTCTTCTTCCTCTCACCACTCTCCTCCTCTTCACCTTCTTGTTCACTGCCACTGCCCTTCCTCCTCCTCTTCTTTTTGGACACGGGCAGGTCTTCATCAGTGTCGTCATTGACAAACTCATCAAACTCGCCTTTCTTAGAACGCTAAAATCCAACCGAGACACTGTTATCTCCTGGCTCATTTTGCAAAGGAAGGATATTTTATGAAATTACATGGAAGAGTTGCTTAGCTAGGCCCATTAAAGTCTTAACTGATTAAAATTTTGCAAAAACCAACTATTTAAGAGGTCATTATAGGTAAAAGGTACTTAGCTAACAAAGCTGTCTGTTTAGTATAGGAAGAAGTTAAAACTAAGAACTAGGTCCTGGGTAAGTTTAAGCACGATCTTCATCTCGGAAAACCGAGGCTGGGGAATGATGCCATCACTGTCAGTGGGAACCATCTCTTACCCGTCCTCCTCCACCACCTCGCTTTTTCTCTTTTGCTGCTTCAGTCTCACCAGTGAACATGAGAATATTTTTTGTTTTCTCCACATACTGGGCCCGCTGCTCCAGAAGTTTCTTCTGCTCTTCCTTTTCTCGGAGACGTTTCTCTTCCTAGGGGGGGAGGGGGGGGGGGCGACGGAAAATGTCTCCAGGTGAAACGCTTACAGCTCCTACTCTAATCAGAAGGACTTCAGAACACGCGTGTATGCACGCACGAGGGTTTAATCTTGGAGGAAGGGAGAAATACAACAGGTACCTGTTCTTTAAGAAATTTCTGCCTCAACAGCTCTTTTTCTTGCTCTTGTTTGGCCCGCAGTTCCCGCTCTTCTTCGTCTTGCTTCCGTGCCCGGGCCACGTGGTACTGGGCCTGGCTCAGTAAGTCGGAGCACTGCCTGAAATGTTCCCGGTTCAGAGAAGAGGACACGGTCAGCGCGACACTGTGCGAACACTCACAATGCCTGCGGACTTCGGCGACGTTTCAAATGTGAAAGAGTATTAGAAAATACCCATGAGCAAAAGTTATTGAGCTACCATAAACTGATCCCATCAACGTTAAGTCTACTTAAATGTCCTTCCAAATCTTAGGTAAATGATTTCCAACTTAATTGTCAGGCATTACTTAAAGAATCAGGGACTAATATCTTGATTCTGAGGACCGAACAGTAGTGAAATAAGACAGGAAAGCACTTTTCCACACAGTTCCAGTCCTAGTACTAATTCTGTCCTACCGCTTCATAAAGGGACCCCTCGGACAAAACTCAGTGTAGGGTGGGGAGTTCCCACGAGGAGACGGGTGGATGACTGACCCCGGCTCACCAAGAGGCATCAGTCTAGCCCACATCTCACACCACGTCACCATCGACAAACAGTAACATTACCTGGCTTCGGTAGCAGCAAGGGCCAAATCAAATCTCATTTTATCTCCCACTTTACTCAAGTAACTGAAGTATCTACATGGAATGAGAAAACAAAATACTTTCACAAAAAATTTCTAACAAAACAGGGCTCTCAACATTTAAAAAATTTGTTCTACAGATTATTGGTTGAGACACACAAATATACTTAATGCATAAAGAACTATCATCTCAATAAGAAAATTATACATACAGTGAAGGGAATGACTACAGTTCACTGTTAAAAAAGCTATCAATAAACCACTCAAAAGTACATTTACTAAGATTCATTAAAGCACGTAAAGTCACATTTTTTGAAGTCATATTTAATGTTACCAGTAAATCCACAATGATCGAACTACTGGATTATATGATGTGTAAATTACTTGCCAATAAAACTTGGGGGGAAAATACAAATCAATTCAGGTAACAAATATTTAAACATGTTGGCATGGGAGTTAGGAGGCTTAGTCCATAAAAGCATTTAGAATCTACCAGGCATGAAATAGTTAATCAACAATTCAAAAAGATGAAAGTAAACTTTACTACCCACTTAATTATCAGATAAACAATAAAGTTAAATGTTATTTTAGTTGACTTGAATGAACCTATCAATAATTAAGAGTTAAGGCCTCAATCCTAGCTCAATAGTAATTGGTAGTTGCTTTCTCGGGGATTCTGACCTGTGGTGACCCAGGTGTGCAGGCCAGAATTGCTCCATGGGGTTTCAAGGTTGTGACCTTCCGGAAGCAGAGCACCAGGCCTCTCTACCAAGGTAGGTCTGGGGAGGCTCAACCTACCAACATGTTGGCTAATAGTCACGCACAAAATGCCCTCTAAAAACACCCTGGTGTTGTTAACAGGTTAAACCAAGACAACTTAAGTAGACTCTAAATATTTCAAATGTATAAAATGACAAGTCATGTGCTGTCACTGAACAATCTAGGGCAATCCTGTAAAGTCACGCAGTTCTACAGGTTGGACTAACAAACCGATCAGCCAACCCACTGCTATCAAGTTGATTCTGTCACAGACAAGTAGAACTGCCCAACAGGCTTCCAAGTCTGTAGATCTTTATAGAAGCCAACTGCTACATCTCCAGCCACTCACCCCTCCCCACCCTCCGCCATATAAAAAACACTTTATTACAAGCACAGCTTTAATTAATATAAAATTATACAGTCCACTGTCACATCTTTCTTCAGTCTGGACCACCAGGGTTCCTTCATGACACAAAATCAGGCAGGTTCCTGGCTATGATTTGGCGCCATCTAGTGGCAGACTGTCTACTTGGCATAAATATTGCTGGAATGGTTTTAATAAAAGCATGTTTTTGAGAGAAGCAGCAGTTTTCAGCACTTTTTGAAACATGCATTTAATGAAACAGAATTTCAAAGTTGTTTCTATACAATCTTTACCTATGTGCAAGCTCCAACTCTTTCACAGCGTTAAGCACTTCCTTCAGATTACTCTTTTCATCTTTCAGGACCGAGGTAGCTAATCTTTGCAGCACTAGGGCCACATTAAACATCAGAACGGTATCACTGGGAGCCACATGTCTAGCCTAGGAATAGAAAACAGAGGAATTGCTGATTTTATGTAAAGGATTTTAGTCAAACACAGTTGCAGTAGGTATGTGAACACATGAAAAAATAGTTTTTAAAAATACAATGGAAGCAGAGAATGAGGTTAGAATAGTGAATTCTCTGTACCTTCAGCAAAGTCTGTTTGCATTCTTGTAACTTGCCACACTTGAAGAGGGCTCGGGCCAAATAGAGCACGACTTCAGTGTTCTGGTGCTTATAGAACTTTCGGAGACAGTTTTCATACTATAAAATGGAAAAAATATATAAAATCACAATGGATAAAAAATGTAGCAAAATTTTGAGTTCTATGAAAAGGTATTTTATATTTAAAATGGCCCCCCAAAAAGGCCAAATATAATTTTACAACATGAATATCCGGGTCATTTGAAAAACTAAATAACTCACACTGTAGGCTTCTTCAGCATTTTTGTAATAATAGTGAAAGAGTAAAAAGGTTGGAAAGTTTTTTTCATATCTTTAGCAATATTCTCAAGAATACTGGCCCACTTCAAGTTTTATATCTAGAAAAAAAGTCTTCTACCTGCTACCACCCTTCTGTATTAGTTAAAAAACAAGAGTCTAAAACAAATAATTCAATCCTATTATTTACTGAGTACTTACTAATATGCTAGTGCAAGTATTGTATATATTGGATTCTCATAAAATTCTATGAGGTTAAGGTACACTTATCTCTATAAACTGAGGGCCAGAGAAAATATCTTTTGCCTAAGACATGCAGTTAGTGGTGCAGGCAGGATACCAAGCCTGCTCTGAACTCTGAATGCTGACAAACTTCTGAATAGATACTGTATCATAAGAAATAGCACGGAGCTCCATCCCCCCTGGCAGGCCAGAATGAATAAGAAACAGATGCTCATCACTCAACATGACGTAAAAGGACTTGGAAGACGACATTACCATCTGAACGGCACTGATATACTGCTTCTGCTCCACATAGATGTGTGCTAAGTTCAACCACACATCACTGATGTCTGCAGTCGCTTCTCTCACTTGGGCGAACACGTCACGAGCTTCACGGAAATAGCCTTTGTGGGCTAACACGGCTCCTACAGTTATAAGAGGTCCATCACATTAAAGAATTTTCTCATTGTAGCCAGAAAAACTAAAGTCCTGTTTTAAAACAACTACATTTATTATATTTGCAGAGAAATTCTAATGTACTAGGGGGCTTCAAAAGTTCATTAAAGAATTCCAGTATATTCTCAATTTCTAGCAACTCTCTCATACAAGCACCGCCCCCTCCATTGCGTGCACAAGTCCGAGGTCTCACCAACGCCATTGGCCGCGTACAGGTTCTTGGCGTCGTTCCTGAGTACTTGCTTGTAGATGGCCAGAGCACGATCTTGGTGACGCTTCTCCTATAAAAAGAAACAACCACTGCAAATTAAAATATCAAAATCGGAACGCAGAACCTCAGTTTCATTAAAAAAGGCCAAAAGAAAATTACTTTTTCTCGGTCTCGGGTAGGCTGATGTAAAGTCTGGAGCCACACATTGCCGAGGGCCAGCATCGAGTACGTGTCACTCTGAGTAGATGGTTGTTTTAATATCCTCTCAAATTTCTTCTGTCCTGGGCCCCATTCTTGTTTAGCCAAATGAAGATTACCAATCAAAGACCAAGCATCTGGATGATCCTAAACGACAGTGGAAAGATAAAGAAGCAAAATCTGTGGTTTGGATCAAGAGAGGTCAATTGTCTTTACACAACAGCAATGAACATTTACAAGATGAGATTTATAAACGACATCGTTTTTCAAACTGACAGTGAGACCCATCATTATTGTCAAGCGCCACCACGCCAGTTCTTACTCAGCGCGAACCTGGTGCAGCAGAGCAAGACACCGCACAGTGCTGTGCCAGCCACACACACCGTTGTTTGAGACCGCTGGCTGCTTCGCAGCGCTGGGTTCATCCATGCCACGGTCTTCCTGTTTCCGCGGCCCCTCCTCTACTTTACCACGCATGATGTTCTACTCCTGGTAACACGCCCGCCTCTGCTTCGAAGGAGCATGCTGGTGGCACTTCTTTTAAGACAATTTGTTTGCTCTTCTGGCAGTCCATGGCGTATTTAGGATTCTTCACAAATACCACCGTTTATCATTTGAATTCTTTGGTTGTCCTTATATTTATACAGCTTTCGTATGCATACAAAGTGACTAAAAATACCATGGCTTAGGTGCACCCTGGTCTTCAGAGTGAAGTCAATTTAGCATGTGGTCATCAGCATAAAAAATGCAATGGAATGGGACAAAGCAAAACTATCAGTGTACTGCACACGGCAAAAATAAGACAAAATGATAATTTTTGAAATTCCCTTTTAATTTTTTTTGTATGCACACATATCTACTAGGCTATAATGAGAAATGTATTTCTCATATAGGGCCACAATCAAAAAGTTCTGATGAGTTCAGAAGTTCCATTCCAAATGCTAAGCCCCTCTAACTCTATAAATTTTTCTCACATGACCCAAACTTACTGCCATCTATCAAGTCGATGCTGACTCAAAGCCACTCTATAGGAATGGGTAGAACTGGCCCTGTGAGTTTCCAAGACTGTAACTCTTTACAGAATGGCTGATGATTTCGAAATGCTGACCTTGAGGTTAGCAGCCCAACTTGTAACCACTACGTCATCAGGTTCCAAGGGGTTCCTTATAACTACTATCAGCTTGAGCAAACTAGAAGGTAAAAGACCTGTGAACTAGTTCACATGTGATGAAGCTAAGTGAAGAAATAGTGTGGAAGAGAAGACACAGAAGGCTGTAAGAGATATTTAAAATATGGTCCCATTTGTTATATGATAAATAATGCAAACAAACAAACCAGGAAGTTATCATGATTATTAGAAAAGTGACAGCCATTAACAGGAAAACTTGATTTGCTGAGAGGAAAAAGTGAAAACAATTATTTTCCAAGTTAAGAGCTAAGATTACAGGCAGGGAGGGAAGGGAAAATGAGGAGCTGATACCAAGGGCTCAAGTAGAAAGCAAATATTTTGTGAATGATGATGGCCACAAATGTACAAATGGATGGATGGTGATGAGTTATACAAGCTCTGATAAAATAATAAAAAAAAAAAAAGATCACCAACCTGATTAATCTGAAGAGCTTCCTTAAACCAATCGGAAGCCTCATAAAAGTTCCCTTTGTCTCTGGCCATGGCTCCTAGACGTAAATAGCCTGCAAACGCACATCGAAGTTGTTATGTTTAAAATGCTAGCTATTAACAATGAAATCTAAAGCCCTATTTTTAAAACAATTTTTTTTCATTAATCCATCCATACAACACATGCTTAAAAGAGGGAAGTCCCTCTGCTGGCAAACCATCGAACACGGCAGTCACCTTGCCATTACGATTCACTGTCAATCCCAGCTTTCTCTTTTCCATGATGGTCCCGATGCACGTACTCTGGAATCCCAGTTCTTATCTCAAGTTGTGTACAAGGCTTACACTGGTCTGTCTCCAATTTCTCTTCAATGCCTACCACTGACATCAACTTTTAAAGGACGACTAACAGGGGCGACTTCCTATCAGAAGACCTGGCCTCCCACCTGGTGCTTCCACGTTAATAATAATGCACTGCACACACAGACGGTTGTTTTATGCAGAAAATGCTACTAGTATACAAAATACAGTCTGAACTATGGCCTGTCATTTTAGCTGTTTGTTTTCATTTCTACCTCATGTGAAGCTACATGTGTTTTTGAAGGTCACAAATCTGCCTTGAAGAAACTGGGGCACTAGACACATCAACATTTTTTTCACTATTGGCTCTCAAAAAGGTTTTTCTGAACTAAATTTTTTTTGGCTACTGCTGTAGGAATTTCATGACATAAAACAAAGCCTTCTGGCTAGACCAGAAGATGTACACTGGTACAGATAGGAACTGGAAACACAGGGAATCCAGGACAGATGATCCCTTCAGGACAAGTGGTGAGAGTGGCGATACTAGGAGGGTGGGGTGGAAAGGGATCTAATATAACCCCCTCCCTGGGGGATGGACAACAGAAAAGTGGGTGAAGGGAGACAGTGTAAGATATGACAAAATATGACAAAATAGTAATAATTTATAAATTATCAAGTGTTCACGAGGAAGGGGGAGCAGGGAAGGAGGGGGGAAAATGAGCTGATACCAAGGGCTCAAGTAGAAAGCAAATGTTTTGAGAATGATGAGGGCAACAAATGTACAAATGTACTTGACACAATGGATGTATGTATGGACTGTGATAAGAGTTGTACAAGCCCCCAATAAAATTACAAAAAAAAAGAAAAAGCCTAAAAATCCTTACAGTCAACATAATTAGGATGCTCCCGTAAGATGTTTTTATATAATTTTTCTGCTTCATGGAATTCACACATCGCCTCATACAGTCTGGCCAAATTGTATGATGTTGTAACAGAAATAGCGTTATAATAATGTTCATCATGTTCAGCCTCTGCCTTTGCACGATCCAATGATGCCAAAAAATATTTCTACAAGAAAGAAAACTGCACTGTAAAAGACTTGGTTGCTAAGTCTTAAAAGATTGGATTCAAGGTGACAAAATATACAGGAAAGGAACATGTATGTTGTCCTACCTTTGCTTCCCCTAGGTTTCCAAGTCTAAAATGGAGAGCTCCCACGTTGTTCAGAATCTCTGGGGGGACATCGGCCTGTACTTTCTCCTGAAGGATTCTCGTCGCTGTTCCGTAAGCTGAAAGAGCACCCTGTGTTTTCACAGTGATAGAATAAGAGAGGCGTTAACACCACGGTTACAAAAAGCACACTGGGTAGGAGATGAAAGCCAAGACGAGATTATAAAGTACCTGTATATCAGTCTGTTCTAAGATTTGTGCCAATTCAATCCAAGCTTCAACATCATCAGGATACTGTTCTGTGACCTTCTTCAAGTGGCCCTGAGATAAAAAAAGGTCATTACGTGAAAACATCTAACAAGTAAAGTGGATGACACCTTTTTAATAAATCATTATTGATTCACTCAAAAAACTCATGGCCATCAAGTTAATTACAACTTACAGAGACTGAGGGCAGGGTAGAATTGCGCCTCCGAGTTTCTGAGACTGTATCTCTTTTTGTAAAATCATTTTATTGGGGGCTCGTACAACTCTTACCACAATCCATCCATCCATCCATTGTATGTCAAGCACATTTGTACATTTGTTGCCCTCATTATTCTCAAAACATTTGCTTTCTACTTGCGCCCTTGGTATCAGCTCCTCATTTTTCCCCCCTCCCTCCCTGGAGACTGTAACTCTTTGGGGGGGGGGGGGGAAGGAGAAAGCTGGTTTGGAACTGCCGACCCTGCAGTGAACAGCCCGACATGCCACCAGGGCTCTGTGAGTTACTTAAAAATCAAACAAGCACAGATAACCAAGTTGCTTCTATCCTATCTCCACTAACAGTGACAAGAAATGTGGAAGGGGACCCCATCGTGGGGGTAGGAAAAGGGGTGCTATAGGGAGCAGACCCCAGCTCCCTCCCCTAGAGGCACAGAAGGTGGAACTCTGGCAAATGGCTTTCTTGCTGGCCACTTGCAGAAGTTCGGATTCAGGATTTGTTCCTAGTGTCTAAGACTTTGATAAGAAACTTAGGGAAGCTGATGCTTATTTACAAATATTGATAGAACAATTACAGCTTTTTGATGACAAGCTTAACTGCCAAGATGATGAACAGAACAGAAAAAGAAATCAGAAAACTATCAGAGACAACAAAGAGCATGGTAGAACCAAATGCAACATTGTATTATATTGTTGCAGATTGCTAAAGACCAGAGTACTGTGCAGAAGCACGCAGATGGAATGAAAGTACTATCAATCCTGTAGATACAATAAATCAGCCTAGCGCTTTGGAACCTGTGATAAGCACAATGCGCTCTCAGATCATCTCCGCCTCTGCAGCCTGCTCCGTTGGGTAAGTCAGCAGCACCCATCTTCCCTATTCGTGAGACCTGTATTAGCTACTCTGCGGACACCATCAGACTCCGACACCAAGCAACACAGGCAACGGTCATTCACTACCTAGTCAAAGTCTAACTTCTCCAAACCATGTCAACTTGTCCCCTAATTCTCTTATTCTAGCAGTGAAAATGAATTCTATGATAGCCATAAATAACATCAAAATAGCTCGACCTCAAGGTGTTTAACAGATTTCTGGATCTGCCTTAGTGTTGAAACACAGCAGCTCAGAAATGGTCTACAGCTCTGAAGACACCAGAGAATCACTTTATTCTTCCATGTTCATTGGAACAAGTGATGCCAACCTTTTCAATTCCCATGATGATAGATGATGGGAAAACCAGGTCAGCATTATGCACATCTTGTCCTGGAATGGATCTTACTAAGGTAGTCCTTCCGACAGTTAATTCTCCAACAAAGGTCTCTTTTAGAAACGTACAGAGGCTTTTCTGCATATCCAGACCTGCCTGTCAGCATTAATGGCCAGAAGGATTCCAGAGATCACAAGGGTCAGGTTGTGGAGTGGTACCGTTGCCAAGACACCATACAACTTAATTTTGGGTGAGATCTATCAGTGTCACCGGACCTTATCAAATGACACTGACTAGAACATGGAGGTAGTTTCAGAAGGACCAGTTTGCTGGTTTTTTAAAACAGTGTAACCTTTGTGGTAACTAAGTTTCCCATAAAACAGCTTTTATGCTGTCTTAACCAGAAGATACAATTCAATGCTTACATATGAACCAAGTCAAAATTCCTTAGGATGCCAATTTGGGTAGAGAACACAGGGCAACGCTGTCACTCATATCTAGACTATGACAAGCATTACAACCTCTAGTGGTTATGGAAGGCCTAGCCTCTCAGTGCCCTGGGTAGAGTTCGGAGGAGAATGGAATATTAGTTGTCCCACAATGGCCTACAGTGTAAATAATGTTTTCTGCACTAAACCTTTCTTTGGTAGCACCAAGCACAAAATTATCACTGAGAAATTTTTCTTCAAATGATAAGAAGTTACTTGGTTGAAGGGGAGTGGAATGGTATTGTGTACACAAAATATGCAACAGAATAAAATAGTCTTCATAGATATGAAGAAGTTACTTATAATCAAAAGAAAGTGAGGGAGTTGGAAGATAAGAATGAGCTTGCATCCAGTGCTTTTGGAAAGATGTCATTTTCAGCTTAAAATCAGAGACACTGATACAGCCACTGAGCCAAGTGTAATGTGGGAGGAAAAGAGCAGAATCCTGGGAAAGGAGGGAGACTGAAATTCAATGAGACACAAGGATTATTTCATGAAGATGGAGAATGCTGGGCTATGATGCACTGTGACTGAAATGTCTTGGTGCTGACAAGCAGGGCACTGGGAAATGTGAAGTTTATCCCTAATGACCAAGGCAGAGGGCATAATGAAGCAACAATCAATCTTCCTTTGAGAAAATCTGTCCACTTCTTTCTGTCTTAAAAAAACAACATAATAACTTTTATTTTAGACTTGAACTATCATTAAATTATATATATAGCCCTGGACCAGTTTAAGTACATTCACTGTTTAAGGTTTCATAGAGTAACCTGAAAAAAAAAAACCCAAAAAAGCAAAAACAAACAGATATGAGGAATGAGTTTGACTCCAGGACACAGGAAGAGCGAACTGAAATAGTAAGATTTGTATAAGATGTACCTTGGCGATATCCCGTTTCTCTTGATCTTCTGAGGCAGCATAGAGAGAGCCAAGAATTTTCATAGTTTCATAATTATTAGGATAAGCTTTCAAAACTTTTTCAAAGCACTGAGATGCATTTTCTTTGTCACCTCGATAAATATACATTTGTCCCAAACCAAAAAACGGCAGCACAAAGGAGGAGGAGGCAAATTGTGTGGCTTGATAATAGTACTGGAAGGCTTGGTCATAATCTTCCTGAAAAGTAACGACAAAACAAGAGCAATCAAGCGCTCTTTTTTTTTAAAAGATCAGAAGAACTATCATTTGAAAGAAAGAAAAATTCGATCTTTAGAAAAATTATAAAGCTTTTTTACCTGAACGTGGAATGATCTAGCCAGCTGGTAGCAACTTTCTGCCTGCATAGCCTCTACTTCTGTGTTATGGAACGCATGGAGAGCCAAGTGCTGGACTTTACTATAATCCTGAGCAATGAAATGCAGAAAACCAAGTGAGTAGGATGTTAGTAATATTTAATACGTTTTGTTAATTGAGAGTTTTTAAATAATTGTTTTGTTTTGTTAATAATAGTATCGCAGTCTCTAAAATGATACATACTTTTTCCTTCGTTGTTCTTGCTAACTGGGAACTAACATTCATGCATGTGTGTCATCCATCCTCCGACAGTCCTCGGAGGGACTGGCCACATTTTCACAAGGAGGAAAGTAACAATCAGACAAGTACTGGTAGCAGTTACAATTTAGTGAGACCTATAATGTGCCAAGCACTATACTAGGTACGGTACTTTAACAATAGCTCTAATCTTAACTAAAAATGCTTCAAGGGCTATCATTATTATATTATCGATGAGGACACATACTTAGAGAAGTGAAGTAGGTGTGTCTATGGTGGAAAAGCTGGATTTTTGCCCCGATTCCAAAGGAAACGCCTAGCTTACAAACACCTAGCTTGTGTCAGTGCTTGGTTTTTGCTTTTTAATCTATTTATTTTCAATATACTTTAGTTTTTAGAACAAGTTTATGTACATGTAAAAATTCACCATTTGGATTTTAATTCATGATATTCTGGTTATTTTAATTTGGATTATCCAGTTTAATGCTGGAGAGTTAAAGTTAATGATAATATAATACATGAGGACTGAGAAACAACTTTGCTTTAATAGGAATATGGATTTTCATTTGGTTAGAAATCTGGTCTGATGCACAGCTTTGCTAACTCTCCCCCTTCAAATTCTAGAAAGCAGGCATATATTTGTTTTTCAAATGAAGAAATGAAGGTTTAGGAAAATTAACCTACTTGCCCAGAGCCATATAACTATTTAATGGTGATGCATAAATTTGGGTTAGGTGATTAAAATTCTACATTTTTAACCATGTTACACATCCTAGATTTATAAATAATTCAGTGGAGTGAGAGTAAGACAAAACGTTGTGTTTGTCTTACTACTGGTGCCTACTTTAATTTCCCTACTTTCATTACTCCATAATTCATGACAAATCTGGGAAGTGATTTTTAAATTTGAAATTCAACACTTGCATAATGTATTAAAGATTAGAAAAGTGTATTAAAGATTCTATTTTAAAATCCTCATTTACATCTTTTAGCAGCGTTCTTCTTTAGTTTTCTTACAGTTTTCGTCTATAATTTAATCAAGAGGCCAAGCAAGCCCAAACCCTACCTAGCCCAATCCTCAGCTCCATCTAGAGCAGCGGTTCTCAACCTGTGGGTCACGACCCCTTGGGGGGGGGTGATTTGAGCCTTTTCACAGGCGTCACCGTATTCACAGCAGTAGCAAAATGATAGTGAAGTAGCAGTGAAAATAATTTTATGGCTGGGGGGGGGGTCACCACCACATGAGGAGCTGCACTAAAGGGTCGTGGCATTAGGAAGGTTGAGAACCACTGCTCTAGAGCTAGGTCTGTGCTCATTGCTCCATGGGTGGTGACAGTTCCCATTATTGAAGTCTCTGGGGTGTTAACTAATAACACTCTTCCTAAATGATTCTTCTATAGGGGAGGCAATGTAGTATAGTCAACAGAGAACTAAAGACCCCACCTTCACTTAACTACCCGTTAGCTAAGTGAATGTAGGCAAATTGAGTATAACATAGCTGAGCCTCAATTTTCTTAGTTATAGGAAGAGAAATCGAAATATCCAAGTACCTCCCGGGGCTGCTATGATGATAATTGAGGAAACCTATGAAAACATGTTTTGTGAATTTCAAAGACACACTTTTGGTGCAAGATAACATTGCATCAATTGCCTTTAAAACGAAACCAAACTCACTGGCATCGAGTGGATTCCAACTCAGCGATCCATCCTGTAAGACAGTGTAGAATTACCCCTGTGGGTTTTCAAGACTCTCACTCTTTAGAGGGAATTAGAAGCCTCATCTTTCTCCTGTGGAGTGGCTGGGGTTTTGAACTGCAGACCTTGCAGTGACACGAATTTCAGTAACACTTAAATGGATGAGCTTGACATGCATTTTCACTGATGCATTCCATTAAGTTCTGTATGTATTGAATATGTTCCTAAATAGAGTAAATCTTTATCTTCAGCAGCAGAAGGTTAGTTAGCACACGGGTGAAACTGACCAATTCTCATTTGGCTCTCAAAAGTTGTCACAGCAGCTGTGAGCACGGCTTCTTATTAGATGTGCACACAAACAATGAGAAACCGTCGTTACGTTTTTTTCAGTGAAAACCAAACTAGTTTATGTAACTTTCAACTTAAATAATATTGCCTAAGTTTCCTATAGGGCACATTTCTCTTAAAGCTTAATCAATAGCTCATTACGATAGGGGTCAAACAGCGACCTCAGGCTATAAGCCTGCATTAACCAGCCCACAAAAGGGGGGGTCATATTACCTACACTTCACTGTTGTGATGATTATGCAAGTGCATAAAGACATGTGATGCACTTGTAACAGTGTTTGGCATTTGGCAGGCACCTCTCAAAACTCACACTCATTGCCATCAAGTTGATTCATTTGAAACTACCAGCTGCTTTGTGGGAACCAGATAGGCTCTCTTGGAAATCCATCGGGACAGCTCTACCCTGTCCTACAGGGTTACACTTAGTGCATGCCAATAACAATAATAATACAGTAGGCCATTATTAATAAGGACCGATACAGTTTGGGGAACTTTTACTTAAATTACTACTTATTTCCTTTAAATTCTTGGTACAATTTAGTAGCTAGTTTCACAGGAGAGGAAGACCCCTGGGGGCACAGTGACAAAGTGCTGTGTCACTGAAAGGGTGGTGGACTGACCCCCACTCCTCCCCAGGAGAAAGATGCAGTGTCTGCTTCCATACAGGTCACAGCCTCGGAAACCCTGTGGGCCAGCTCTTCTCGGTCCCATACAGTCACAAGTCAAAACCAACTCTGATGGCAGGTTTTTCCCCTGAAGACTACAATTTCATGATTATTGTGGAAAAACAAAACAAAAACTTCAATTAAATTCAGGCTTCAGTGTTGAAAAAAAATTTAAATTGCTGTTACAAAATGGCAATCAATATATCATAACAAAACAAAAAAGAAAAGAAATATATCATGATCAACATGCAAAGACAAACAAAAACCACCCATCGTAATTACATAGAAACATGTGCATACATTTATAGGTTTAGTACTAAGGTAGCAGATGGACATTGGGCCTCCACTCAAGTACTCCCACAATGCAAGAGTACTTTGTTCTATTAAACTGGCATTCTATGATGCTCACCTTCCCGACATAATCGCTGATGACAAATGCATGCATAAGCCAATGTGGTGAAGAAAGCTGATGGTGCCTGGCTATCAAAAGATATAGTGTCTTGGGTCTTAAAGGCTTGAAGGCAAACAAGCGGCCATCTAGCTCAGAAGCAACAAAGCCCACATGGAAGAAGCACACCAGCATGTGCGATCACAATACCTCGAAGGGATCAGGTATCAGGCATCATCAGAACAAAAAATCATATTATGGTGAATGAGGGGAAGTGCGGACTGGGGTCCCAAAGCCCATCTGTAGGCAATTGGACAGCCCCTTATAGAAGGGTTGTGGGGAGGAGACGACCCAGTCAGTGCAACAACTTTCCTCTAGTTCCTAAATGCTTCCCTCCTCTCTCTCCCCAATCATGACCCCAATTCTACCTTATACATCTGGCTAGACCAAAGGATGTACACTGGTACAGATAGGAACTGGAAACACAGGGAATAAAGGGCGAATGATCCCTTCAGGACCAGTGGTGCGACTGGCGGTATCGGGAGGGTGGGGTGGAAAGGGGAAACCGATTACAAAGATCTACATATAACCTCCTCCCTGGAGGAGATATAGCAGAAAAGTGGGTAAAGGGAGACGTCGGACAGTGCAAGATAAGGCAAAATAATAATTTATAAATTATCAAGGGTTCATGAGGGGGGAAGTGGGGAGGGAGGGGAAAAAATGAGGAGCTGATGCCAGGGGCTTAGGTGGAGAATAGATGTTTTGAGAATGATGAGGGCAATGAATGTACAAACATGCCTTACACAATTGATGTATGTATGGATTGTGCTAAGAGTTGTATGAGTCCCTAATAAAATGATTTTTTTTAAAAACTACATAGAAACTCCTGGTGTTTTACACATGCCCCATTACCTGGATCTTGATCTAATGCATTACCTACTAGATAAGCAGACCATGTTTAATGCTCATATTAAACCAAACTGTCTTAAAAATCTGTGCCTTTACTCACTCACCTACCTAATGACTGCCTCTTCATGCCTAAAAGCCGTTTGTTTTTCCATCGCCAGGAAAATGTCCCCTAACCACTCCCTTATTCTCTACCACACCACGGTAGAAATCTTTATCTGCTTTTTCTACTAACTGAACTCCCTAAGTATAGGATCTGTGTCTTACTGATTGATCTCCACATCCCTATCGCAGTGCTGTACAGAATATACAGGGTCAAAAAAAATATAAAGTGAATGAATGAATGAACTCACCTCATATAATTTATACAAACACTATTTGAAAACAGCAACAAAACAAAATAAAAAACAAATCTCTGACATTTTCAGAATTCCTTTCGGTTTTCTTTTAAAATGAAGATAGTATCAGTTGCAGTACAGAATTATCAGGATTTTAATGTAAATAACTTTAAAAAGCCCCTTTACCTTTTTAAAGAAGAAATGGTTTGCTAAGTGGTTCAATACCATAGGGTTGCTAGGATCAATTCCATAGGCTCTGGAAAGAAGCTGGACACCATTTTTGATGGAATCAGCCTAAAAGAGAACAAAATGATAAGGTTATTGGCACTTAAATCTTGTTTACTTAACCAGTCCTTTTCCATGTTTTTTTACTGTCTCAGGAAATAAGGTCATATAAAAACCTACTGTAAAAAAAACCCAAAACCTACTGTTTATACGCGTGTATAAGCTGAGTTTTTCAGCACATTTTAATGCAATTTTTGTGGTAAAATTAGGTGCCTCGGCTGATATTTGGGTCGGCTTATACTTGAGTATATACGGTAATTTCTGATACCAAAATGTGGCTCGTGTTAGCATTCACTGGCATGAAAAACAGACAACAAATGGAGTTTGATTTTATTTAAAAACTTACTTTTAAGAGCACACTATGGTAAGGTACATCTGTCCTCGAAATTAGGTGTATATAATAAATATATTTGATAACACAATTCTTAAATATTTTTACTATTTATCCATAGGTTAAAAAAATAGAAAAATACTCCAACAGACTAGTTTTAAAATGCGTTTCTGAGATGAAAATGACACATCGTTCACCCATTTAAGGTGTACAATTCAATGTTTTTAGTATATTCACAGAACTGAGCAATTATCACCACAATCAAATTTTGGACCCTGTTCGCTACCCCTCAAAATCGGGCTACCCAATAGTCATTACTAGTTAAGAAAATCCAGATATTTTAACCTATGATCTTTTGACTTCAGAAAGGAAAGTTCCCTCCTGCCTCTTCCTCAACTCCAGGAAGTGAATCATGATTGATCTAAACCAAGTCAGTATAATTGTTAGCATGAGTTCCCTACAGAACAAAACCTGTCTCTCTCACACACAGAGAATGAATTTTATAGCAACAAAGTGGCTCACACGGCTGTGTAAGTGGTTAGTCTGTCTGTAGAACGTGTAGTTTGGTTCATGTCAGTGGGTCAAATGTTAAACTGGAAGCTTTTCTCGGCACAAATAGCTGCCAGGGCTGACAAATCAAGGAGAAAACCACAGGCTGATGGAGGCTGAATCCACAGGCATCAAGTGAGGCTCACTGCTTGTCCTCACTTGTTCAGCTGCTGGAATTGACAAATCAGGTACCGGGAGGACCAAAGGCTGATGGGTTACATGAATCCAAGGGTGGCAATACGGTAGGGTGCTAATAGCTAACTCTCAGAGTTGGTAGGCAATATTATGGGTCAATGTGCCTGACATGAGATCTGGACATGTCATGAACTTATAGGAGGTCACAACCCTGATAAGACATCCTTCCAGTTGCATCAGGCTGTGACTTGATTAAAGGAGTTTCACTCCACCCTAATTTTGCCAGTAACTGCTTAGCTGCTCATAGCAGAGCCCATCATGGAATTGATTACATTATATTAGATAATATCATGGACAAGGTTTCAACCTCCAAATTAAGAATCCTAGCCTAGCCAAGTTGACACAAAACTATCATAACATTGCTTGAGCCCATTGTTGCAGCCACTGTGTCAATCCTTCTTGAGGGCCTTCCTCTTTCCCCTCTGTTTTACCAAGTGTAATGTCTTTCTCCAGGGAATTGTCTCTTCTAACATGTCTAAAGTACGAGATAAAGCCTCACCATCTTTGCCTCTAAGGAGCATAATGGCTGTACTTCCTAGACAGATTTGTTTTTTCCTTTGGGTACTTTCAATATTGTTTGCCAACACCACAATTCAAATGAATCAATTCTTCTTTGGTCTTCCTTATTCAATGACCAACTTTCACAAGCATATAAGGCAACAGAAAATACCATGGCTTGAGTTTGGCACATCTTAGCCCGTGAAGTAAAGTTCTTGTTCTTCAACTTTTAAAGAGGTGTTATGCAGTAGACTTACTCAATGCAATACATTGCTCGATCTCTAATGCTGCTTCTGTGAATATTAATTGTGGATTCAAGCAAAATGAAATCCTTGACATTAACCTTTTCTCCATTTATCATGATGCTAACTATTGGTCCAGTTGTGAGGATTCTGGTTTTCTTTGCAGTTATAATCCATACTGAAGGCTGCAATCCTTGATCTTCATGAACGAGTGCTTTAAGTCCTCCTTTTGGCAAGCAAGGCTTTATCATCTGCATATTGCAGGTTAATAAGTCTTCTGATGTTACATTCTTAATAAAATCCAGCTTTTCTGATTATTTGCTCAGCACATAGATTGAATAAGTATAAGTATGGTGAGGGGATACAACCCTAATACTCATTGATTTAAAACCAAGCAGTATTTATTCCCTTTTCTGTTCACACAACTACTTCTTGACCGATGTACAAGTTCTTCAGAGACATAATTAAATGTTCTGGAATTCCCATTATTCCCAAGGCTATCCACAGTTTTGTTATGATCCACATAATTGAATGGCTTTGCATAGTCAATCAAACACAAACAAGTATCTTTCTGGTATTTTCTGCTTTCAGCCAAGATCTGACACCAACAATGATAGCCCTTGTTGCACACCCTCTTCTGCATACAACTTGACTTTTTGGCAATTCTTGTTGGATGTTCTTTAGTAAATTTTACTTGCATGTGACATTAATTATGTTGTTCTATATTTGCATTCTTTGGGGTCCTTTCTTTGGATTAGATACAAATACAAATCTCTTCCATTCAGACGGCCAAGCAACTCTCTTCCAAATTTCCTGACAGACAAGTGATACTTCCAGTGTTCCAACAGCTTGTCTAAACATTTCAATCGGTATTCCATCAATTCTGGAACCTTGTTTTTGGCTAATCCTTTCAATAATTGCAGCTTGAACTTCCTTCACCATTGGTTCTGGTTCATATGCTACATTATATTAGATAGTATTTGAAATGGTTAAATGTCAACTATTTCTTTTTGTGACAGTGACTGTGTGTTCTTTGCATCTTCTTTTGATGCTTTGCTAGTCCGGGTAGACTAGAGAAATCCAAAGACACTCATATGTGTATAAGAAAGAGCTTTATATACAAGAGCAATTGAATATTGAGAAAACATCCCAGTCCAGTCAAGTCCGATATTAGCCCAGATGTCTGATACCAATCTATAAATTCTTCAGACTCATGAAACACATGCAATGATGCCAAATGCAGGAAGATCACAGAACAGTCGGTGGAAAGTCTTATGGATCCAGTGGTGGTACAAGCATCTCAGCGCTGGTAGGGGTTTCCACATGGCTCCTTCAGCTCTAGGGCTCTAGCATAGGTCCATGTGTCTTGTCAGCAAGCTATTATCTCGTTATGAGTCTCCAAATGTGGTCATCAAGCTGCGACCTGATTGACAGGCTAAACTCTACCCCTTCACTCTTAAATCTCAAACTGACAACAGATTATGTAACCACAGATGCTTCCTGCATTTTTTGCCCACAGAATTTGTCAGCACTGCAACGCGAGGCCAGTTTAAGATATGGTGAGTGTGCACTTCCTTTTGGTTTTCTAACTCTAGGCCTTTGCACGTTTCATTATAATATTTTACTTGTCTTCTCAAGCTGCCCTTTGAAATGTTCTGGTTCAGCTCTTTGACTTCATCATTTCTTCCATTTGCTTTAGCTACTCTATATTCAAGAGCAAGTTTCAGTCTTTTCTATAGTTCATTTTGATCATTTTCTTTTTAAAAGATTTTTGCTTTCATCATGTATGATGTTCTTTTTTAAATCAATTTATTAGGGGCTCATACAACTCTTATCATAATCCATACATCCATCCATTGTGTCACGCATATTTGTATATTCATTGCCCTCATCATTCTCAAAACATTTGCTCTCCATCTAAGCCCCAGGCATCAGCTCATTTTTTCCCCTCCCTCCCCGCTCACCCTCCATCATGAACCCTTGATAATTTATAAATTATTTTGTCATATCTTAACACTGTCCGACGTCTCCCTTCATCCACTTTTCTGTTGTCTGTCCCTCAGGGAGGAGGTTATTTGTAGATCCCTATAATCAGTTCCCCCTTTCTACCCCACCCACCCTCCACTCTCCTATTGCCACTCTCACCAGTGGTCCTAAAGCGATCTGTCCTGGATTCCCTGTGTTTCCAGTTCCTATCTGTATCAGTGTACATCCTCTGGACTAGCCAGATTTGTAAGGTAGAATTGGGATCATGAAAGGAGGGGGGGCTGGAAGCATTTAGGAACTAGAAGAAAGTTGTATGTTTCATCATTGCTACATGGCAGCCTGACTGGCTCATCTCCTCTCGGGACCCTTCCATAAGGGGATGTCCAGTTGCCAACAGATGGGCTTTGGGATCCCAGTCCACACTCACCCTCATTCACAATGACATGATTTTTTCTTCTTTCATGTCTGAAGCCTCGTGATCACACAGGCTGGTGTGCATTGTGTGCTCACCTTCCTGATATGATGGTTGAAGACAAATGGGTGCATAAGCAAATGTGGTGGAGAACGTTGATGGTGCCCGGCTATCAAAAGATATAGCGTCTGGGGTCTTAAAGGCTTGAAGGTAAACAAGCGGCCATCTAGCTGAGAAGCAACAAAGCCCACATGGAAGAAGCACACCAGCCTGTGTGATCACGAGGTGCTGAAGGGATCAGTTATCAGGCATCAAAGAACACATATGATGTTCATGAGGCCATCCCACGGGTTGTCAGATTGTCTGTCATTAGTGTTCAAAGTGTCAAATCTGTTAAGATGTTTTTGAAATTCAGGTGGGATATTCTCAAGGTCATATTTTGGCTCTTATGGCCTTCTTTGAATTTTCTTCAGCTTCAACTTGAACTTACATATGAGCAGTGTCTTCGGTCTGAAATTGATCAAGCATGCAATCAAGATGCATTGATAATTATTGGTGATTGGAATGCAAAGTTGGAAACAAAGAGGAAGGAACAGTAGTTAGAAAATATGGTCTTGGTGATAGAAATAAAGCTGGAGAACGCATGATAGAATTTTGCAAAACCAACAGCTTCTTCATAGTCAATGCATTTTTCAACAATACAAACAATGACTATACACCTGGACATCTCTTGATACAGAAATCAAATTGACCACCTCTGTGGTAAGACAACGGAGATGGTCAGTATCAGAAGCTAAAACCAAGTGAGGCCCCAACTGTGGCACAGACCATCACTGCACATAGGTATATACATATTAAATGAACACATGCCTATAGATACACGTTATCTGTGCATACATATGTCTTCATATGTTCATTCCCACATGCACATATTATTATATATGTGTGTGAAACCACACATTTTTTCGGTTGTTGTTAGTACTGTATTACCTTTCTATAATCTGAAGCCTTGACATCTGAAACACACTTGGCCTCAGGGATTTGATTAAGGGATCGGGGACCTATCAGTCAGTCAGGAACTCCTTAATTCTTCATTTACATACCTCTTTATTGTTGAGTTCTAGAACAGCCAGTCCAACCAATGCTCCCACACAAGTGGAAGTGAGTTCCAAGGCTCTGCTGAATGCCAAACGAGCTTTCTCTAGCTTGTTAAGCTTCACAAAGCAATGGCCCATTCCTAAGCGAACTTCCGCTAAAAATACAAAATCAGATATTCAATCTGTCAAATACGTATTAGAGTTTAACTCTTCTCTCTTAACCTCATTGCAACTACACTGTAAAATTTTACTTATCCCACAAATTTGGTTTCATTAGATGTTAAATTATACACCACCTTCCATTCCCAACCCCAATCGTGGATCCTTGTCTTTCCATAGAACAGAGTATCTCTGATATTGTTTTTTTCTCCTTTAAACTGTACCTTCAATCTCATTTTTAAAACTAAAATTTAAACAGAGAACAAAATATTCCATTACGGTTTTAAATAATATAGCTGATTATATGAACATACTATCAGTCCTTCAGAGAGATGCTTTTAACTGTAAGCCAATTTCAAGGCCATACCTAAAACCACAATCTAAGTCTTAATGAAGGCTAATGTCTACTGGTCACTAGATCTATTCCTTCTCATCGATTCAAAGACTCTGCTCCAATAACCTTCCTCTTATTTTTCTTCCACCATCAAATTTTTCCTCTTCACACACATGTATAATTCTCATACACACACACAGATTCCTCCATCTTGGAAAAAACCTCTTGATCCCATTTCCCCTTTTCAGTTGCCAATGCATTCCTGTTCTTCGCTTGACAGCAAAACTCCAAGGGCAGTCTGTCTACCCTTACTGCCTCCAATTTCTTCCCTTCTCTTTTCTCTTGAACCTTTCCCAAGGAGGCTATCATCTGTACTATTCCAGTAAATTATTTCTATGTTGCTAAAGCCAATGGTCGTCTCAGCCTCATTTAGCCAGATAACAGAATTTGGCACTATCCATCCAACTCTCCTGCTACAGCACTTGACGTCTGGCTTCAAGAATATTGATCTACTTTGTCTTCCTCCGACACTTATGGCTGATACTTCTCAGGCCCCTTCTCTAAAATGAGATTGCCTGCAGGTTCCAGCTATGGGCCTATTTTTTTTTTTAAACCTATACTCACTCCCTTGGAGATCTTATAGTCTCATAGCTTTGTATGGATTTCCAATTTAATTACTTTAGCCCAGGGCTCTTCCTTGAATTTCAATCCTCTTGAACTCTCCACTTGTACATCTAAAAGCTATCTCACATTTTTTTGAGTCTCTCTTGTACTTTTTTTCTGAATGTAATAATACTTTACTGTCAACTGCTTAAGCAAAGGAATTTCCTTTGATTCTTCTTTTTGTCTGACATACTACATCAGATCCATCAGCACTCCTTTCAATATACCTTTAGAACCTGACCACTTCTTACCACTTTCACTACTGTCCACCTAGTCTAAGCCATACTCATGTCTGCCCTACAAGACTGCAATAGTTTGCTTGCTTTTTAAAACTGTCTTATATGCAACAGCTTTCTAGCTGGTCTCCCAGTGTCTATCCTTGTCCCTCCCTCATATTAATACCTCAGTTTTGTCTCAACTCAAGCTCACATGATCCTTTTAAATACAAGTTAAATCATATTTGTACGTACTTTGCTCAAAATCCTCCAATGAATTCCTATTCCTCACAGTTAAGGCCAAAGTTCTCGTAATGATCAGTGAGATCCCTGTTCTCTGTAGCATATTTCCCCCATCCCTCTACACTAGTCTCCTCATTCTTCCCCAAACCTGCTACATGCACCTTTTTCTCAGCACCTTTGCACTTCCTATCCTTTCTCTCTGGGAAGAGTCTTTCCTCTATTTCTCGCTTGCTTGCTGAAAGTAAGTAGAACTTGAAGCTTTTGTTGACGAAGACCAAGGAATGCAGACTTCAATATGGATTACAGCTCCATGTACAGAAAACAAAAATCCTCACATGTGCAACAGTAGGTAACATCATGAGAAATGGAGACAGGATTGACGTTGTCATGGATTTTGTCTTACTTGAATCTATAATTAATGTTCATAGAAGCAAGAGTCAAGAGATGAGATGAAACTGATACATGTATTGGGTAAATCTGCCAGAGAAGACCTCTTCAAAATACTGAAAATCTAAACTCAGCAAAATTAGCCAACTCAGAAAGATAAATATTATATGACACTATTATGATAAAAGAAAAAAAGGAAATGGTTTTCACACTAAAAGTTAAAACTTTAATGAGGTGGTGGGAAGAAGAGTGGCAAAAGGAAGGGACAGGGCAGTAAGGAGGGAGGGTGGGTGGCAGGGAAAAAAAAGTATCACATACATGGGGGTTTCATGAGCTACTGTTACAGATTTGTTGAGATGGGCTGTGCAAATGATACAGATCATGTTTATTTTTGTATGAATATTACACAAACAAAAAGGGGGAAATATATATAAATACAAACAAATAAAATTAAGAGAAAAAAGAGAGAGCACATGCCTAACAACCCTCCAGATTCCTTAGCCATTCGATCTAAACATTGGTCTGAGTGGGAATAGGAGGACAAGTAACGTGAAACTGACTTGGATTCTTTTGTGACATACAAGTTGGTAATAAACAAAAAAGTGTTGAAAATGGTATTTGAGGTATCAAGTATGCCTGACCCAAGCAATAGTATTTTTAATTGCCTTATATGCATTTGAAAGTTGGACACTGAAAAAAAAAAAAAAAGAAAGTTGTACACTGAATAAGAAAGACTGAAGAGTCAATGCATTTGAATTACAGTGCTGTTGAAGAATACTGAAAGTACTGTGGACTGCCGAAAGAACACACAAATCTGTCTTGGAAGAAGTTCAGCCAGTATGTTCCTTAGAGGCAAGGCTGCTGAGACTCCGTCTTTATGTGTTTTGGATATGTAGAGACCAGTCCTTGAAAACAACATTATGCTTAGTGGAGGGGAGAGAAAAAGAGGGAAGTCCTCAATGAGATGAATTGATGGCTGCAACAACGGACACACACGACAGTTGTGATGATGGCGCGGGACCAGGTGGTGCTGCTTTCTGCTGTACACAGGGTTGCTGCGTTGGAAACAACCCAACAGCACAGAGCACCACCACCAGCATATTTCTTGCAGGAGAGAGTCAAGGCTTTCTACAACCATAAAGAGTTTTGGATACACTCGGGGGGTGGGGAGTGGGGTGGGGGGAGTGGTGGTGTTCTACTCTCTCCTATAGGGTTGCTATGAGTTGTAATAGACTGGCTGGCAGTGGGTGTGAGGTTTTTGTTTTAACCATTTTCGTATGGCTCTTAGGTCTTCACCCAAATGTTTTCTCAGTGGCATGTTCCCTTGCCTTCTTTTCTAAGTATCACTCACCAACACATATCCTTTCCTACTCTTTAATCCTTATCAATATCTAACATAGCCTATGTTGTACTTAATTATTGCTTATTTTCTTCAATAGAAAATAAATTCCACGACGGTAGGAATGTTTGGTTTCTTTTCTTCAATGCTGCATTTCCATGCCTGGCAAATACATTGTGTTCAAGAAAAAAAGGCTGAGTAAACATGAGCTGGGAAAGAAAAACAATATAGTGCAAAATTTACACTATGACCTACCATCCAGCTCTTAAGTCAAACACAGTACTAAAAACAATAACAAAAATCAACTATTCTGTCAAGATCGATAATCCTATGCTATCTTTTGACAACAAACTTCATTAGCAATTGCCAAATCATCAATATTTTAAGTTGGATCATACAAAGCTTCAATCTAAAATAGTTTTCCTCTTACCGGGACATCCTGGGTTAGTACGAAGTGCTTTCTTATAGTACGCAAGTGCTCCTCTGTAATCTTTCTTGTTGAATGAAATGCAAGCTTTACCTGTAATAATTTTTTTTAAATGAGCACATACTGTTAAATTAAAGAACACAAGTCTAGTGTGCTTTATATTAATTTACTTAAATACCTAAAAATAGAAACATGCTTCCATGTCTACGTACCTATAAAATAATAGTTGAAATAGCTTGGAGTTCTCTAAATGTATTACTGAATCTTTAGAAGGAAGAAATTGTTCTTAATTAGCATATATTTTTATAATTTTAACAGAAACAAAATTTATTGTAATTTCATTTTGAAAAAGACAAAAACTACCATTACTTTGTGGTCAGGTCTACTTTCTAAAGAATTTATAAAGAGATTTATTCTAGGGATATGCTGAAAAACATAAATTACTAAAAAGGTTGCCACTTACCAAGAAGAGCTGGAATATTATTTGGAGACTGGTTTAGTACAAAATGAAACTGTGCATCAGCTTGATCCATTTTGTCACCTTCAAGTAAGCAGAAGCAGGCTCTTCCCAACAAATGGTTCTGAAACATTATACATCACCTTAGACTTTCTTTTATCTAAGACCATCATCATTTAACGTGAACATGTGACTTCAAAATGAAGACCATATGGAAAGGTGGTGGGTTACCATGCACATTCCTCTAACTGTATGTTTAAACTACCAAGAAGGAATTCTTAATCACAAATTGAAACACTATCCTGAAATGCAAATGTTCTGTGACAGTAGCAATGACAAGAAAAGTTGAATTATTTAAAATCTGCTTGAAATATACCTGGAGATGTTGGACTTACTGATTCAACACATTTCATATGCTAAAATTGCCAGTACTCTAATAACAAAAGAACCCAAGAAAGTCCATTTAAATGAGGAATCCTTTTTTCTTAAACAACCATATTAAAGAAAAAGTCTTAAAAATTAAAAATGTATTGTTATCACATACATTTTGCTTTCCTATAGTTTTTCCCTTTCATAAACTCACAAAAATGTGCCTCCTTTTTACCTGATCATACATAATAATTTTATCAGCCATTGTGTACAACAAGGTTGCCTGTGTAATCAGATCCTTCTTATTGTCCTTATTCTTTTCCTTTCGAGCCTGTTGAACATAGTAGGCCGCCAATGTATCCAAGCACGTCATTTGGTCTTTTTCATGATCTCTGTAGTCCAAATTGCCATCTATACGAGCTGCTTCCAACAGCTTTACAAATTCTTCTGTTTTTTTTTGCTTGTAGTATTCCAGCTGTAAGGTTATGGATTAAATTAGGATCTCTAAAGCATATGCTCAGATAAAAACTTTTATCTGAATGTTTTTGTTAACTTAATTCACAATAGTAAAAACCTGGAGACAACGGAAATGTCCGTGACTGGTACAAGAATGAAGTATCTTTGATACACCTATAAATGGATGCTACTCAGCAAAAAAGGGAATGAGCACTCTACAATATGGATGAACCACAAAATAATTGTGCTGAGAGAAGGCCTTATCAGAAGAGTCTACACCATGATTCCAAATACAATGCTAGAAAATGCAAACTAATCTTTAGTGACAAGGGGTAGGGAGTGGAGGGATATTTGTGGGCGATAAATATCCACTCTTGTGCCAATAGTGGTAGTTTCACAGGTATATGCACATGGAAAACTTACCTAATGGTACAATCTTGTGCCACTAGGTATGGCTCAATGATAGATATTTAGGACCAATACAAATGCTTGTAAACTGGAAACAATTGATTTCAAAATAAAATGTTCAAACAAGCAAAAGTTGAGAATGCAGTATTACAGGTATAAAGAATTCTAGATAGGAAACTTGGGTTTGGTTCTTGATTTGCAAAAAGTATCTATGACTTTGGGCATGTTAATAACTTCTGCTTCATTTATAAATAAAAAAGAAATAACTATCATTTACTGATCACACAGTGTGGGTCACATACTAAGCTGGGAGCATCACAGACATTAATTTAATCACCTTCTAGAGTATTTTATGAAAATTGTTTTCTTGTTTTAGGAAACAATGTTAAGTAGGAATGCTTACATAGTGGCAACTTAACGTGTTTTCTCAGTTTATCTATAAACCATAAACCAGTTTCACTGAATCATCACATTCAATACAGAGTACTCGAACTTAAATGAATTTTGCCTTTACCAACACATACAAATTTATCAGCACACTACACATGATTTAGGAAACTGGACTTACTGTTGTGCAAGTGGTAAGACAGCTTCCACAGACATAAACTATCCTAAACCCACTGCCATCAAATCCAACTCACAGTGACCCTATCTATAGATGGTTTCCGAGATAGTACATCTTTACAGGAGCAGCCAGCCTCATCTTTATTCTGCAGTGACTGGTGGGTTTAAACTACTGACCTTGAGGTTAACAATCCAAGCCTAAGACACTGCACTACCAGAGCACTGTGCAATTTATTTATCATACCCCCTACCCAAGCTGGCTATTATAAATAAAAAAACAGAAAGCCCGATTTTTCCAGTCAACAAAGATATTTGTTACATGAATACTAACCGCCAGCGCGATCCATATGTGCAGTTGTGTGTGCTCCTGTTTTAGAATACTGATAACTTCATCCCCCTCAGGTAACTGATCGAAGTCAAGTTCAATAACCTAAAACATAAAATGTTGGTTTTAACTCCTTTCTTATTTTACAGTTCACATTTCTACTTTGCTGCTGTTCTTGAACCTCAATATGCATACTGTTAGGGTTCTGTTCAACTTGAATACAATGAATTATTGCGGGTTAAGAACTGCCTAATGGAGCAGTAAATGACAAGTATATTCTACTGTAATATTGAGATAAAGGCACAGAAAAGCAAGCAGAACTTGCTAGGTAGCCCCAAATCACGAGCATTTTTCAAATGCTAGCACAGGAGAGACTCAAGTTTCCAGGGTGGAATGGGCGAACAGACCGCAGTGACAGAGCGCCCACCTCTGTATTCTGTGGGTGAACTGTCCGTTTTTACCAGGCGCTTTTGAATTAGTTGGGGAAAGGGTCGAGGTACAGTCAAATACGCATAGGTGGAAGGGCCACGATCAAGAAGTGCTGCTCGCAGTCGCCCTGCTGTTGCGAGGACTCCGGTATTCCCGGCGGGGTGGGGGTGGGGGTGGGGAATGGGGGACAGGGGCTGGGACAGGACGCGGCCCGAGTCGTGGCCGGCGATTTCGGCCTGGGCTCCGGCGAGAGGGAAAGGCTCTCGCTTCGGAAAGTCCAGGTGTGCGGGGGAGAGGCCGTTCAAGTTCACTGACACCACCTCCTGGTCGGCCTCCCCCGCGCCATTCCCGCCTCCCTTGTTCGGCTTTTACCTCGTCAGTGTCCCGGAGGGGAATCTCAATGGAGCCCCGCGACATGATGAAGCGAGACGGCGAGCGGGCGTCCAGCCCCGCCGCGCTGCAGTCGGTGCCCTCGCTGTTGGCGCCTCCAAGGGTTCTGGTTGTGCCAACCACCCTCGGCGCAGCCGGAGCCCCGGCTTCTTCCCGTCAACCACTCAAACAACAAGCCGCCGCCGCCGACGGACGGCAACTTCCGGCGGCCCCGCCCCCTGACCCCGGAAGGAATCCCTGCGGGAGGCGGTGTCTTATGGTGGTTGTGCTTGTGGCCTTGGTGTGTCTCGAGGCCTTGGGGGCGCGGGGCGCCTGTAGGTTGGCCGAGAATTGACAGGCCCTCTGTAGTCCTGAGACTCCCCATCTGAGCCCAGCACTGAAGCAGGCCGGAATAGAACGCACCGCGAGGCTCCGCCCCAAAGTGGGCGGAGCAAGGAGGGCGGCCGCCCCGGAGTGGGCGGACAGAACAACTGAGACGCGGGTTCGAGGCTTGGCGTCTGGCACTTGCGATGTCTGGTCGTGTTGCACGGTTCTCTGACCCGCCTGGCTTGTCCCCTGTCGGATGTGCGTGGCCAAACTTGTGTCCTTCCTAGGATTCCTGCAGTTGTTCATTCCCCAGTTCTAGGTGTGAGTCATTCCATTGTCAAATCTTGATGATTTAGGAATAACTAGCTCTAGTGGCACAGTTGTTTTGCCTTGGGCTGCTAACCCCAAGGTGAGCAGTTCCAAACCACCAGATACTCGGGAGAAAGAGGGAGCTTTCTCCGCCAGTTACACTCTCGGAAACCCACGGGCCCCGTTCTACCCTGTCCTATAGGACGGTTCACTAGGAGTCAGAATTGACTTGATGGTAGTGAGTTTGAACAAGATCTGTTTGTTTCTCTGTGCTTTTATTTTAATATTACTGTAGAATGTACTCCTTAAATGCTCCACTAATCATTTCTTAATAAGTAGTAGTTCAACCGTACTTAAAGTGAACACAAATCCTAACTAGATGAGGGCGCTTCAGAAATATTGGGGAAATGTCCAGTATCTTCATTCCATCCTCCCCACAAGTTTTCTGAAGCCCTCTTGTACAGGCATACTTCAGAGATAGCGTGTTTGATTCCAGTCTCACTGCTATGGAATCAATGCTGATTCATAGCAACCCCTGGGGGTTTCTGAGACTGTAACTTTTTTTCCCCTAAATCAATTAAATTTTATTTAACTTTTAATGTTTTTCGTTTATAAGATTGTTTATTTTTTCTTTTAAAAAATCATTTTATTGGGGGCTCATACAACTCATATCACAATCCATACATCCATCTATTGTGTCAAGCACATTTGTACATTTGTTGCCATCATCATTCTCAACACATTTTCTTTCTACCTGAGCCCTTGGTATCAGCTCCTCATTTTTCCCCTCCCACACTCCCTCCCTCACAAACCCTTGATAATTTAAATTATTTTTTCATGTCTTACCCTGTCCGATGTCTTGCTTCACCCACTTTTCTATTGTCTATCCCCCAGAGAGGGGGTTATATGTAGATCCTTGTGATTGGTTCTCCCTTTCTATCCCACCTTTCCTTTCCCCTCCTGGTATCGCTACTCTCATTATTAGTCTTGAGGGGTTCATCCATCCTGGATTCCCTGTGTTTCCAGCTCTTATCTGTACCAGTGTACATCCTCTGGTCTAGCTAGATTTGTAAGGTAGAAATGGGATCATGATAGTGGTAGGGGAGGAAGCATTAAAGAACTAGAGGAAAGTTGTATGTTTCATAGGTGCTATACTGCACCCTGACTGGCTCATCTCCTTCCCGTGACCCTTCTGTAAGGGAGTGTCCAGTTGCCTACAGATGGTCTTTGGGTCTCCACTGCACACCCCCCCTCATTCACAATGATATGATTTTCTGTTCTTTTGTTCCTGATACCTGATTCCATCAACACCTTGTGATCACACAGGCTGGTGTGCTTCTTCCATGTGGGTTTTGTTGCATCTCAGCTAGATGGCCGCTTGTTTATCTTCAAGCCTTTAAGACCCTAGATGCTATATCTTTTTCTTTTCTTTTTTTTTTTACAGATGCTGTATCTTTTGATATCGGGCACCATCAGCTTTCTTCACCGCATTTGCTTATGCACCTGCTATGTGCCAGTGATCATGCTGGGAAAGTGAGTACTGTATCATGAACTGCCAGTTTAATAGAACAAAGTGTTCTTGCATTGAGGGAGCATTTGAGTAGAGGCCCAATGTCCATCTGCTACCTTAATACTAATCTTATAAGTATATGCACATAGATCTATTTCCCCATTGTGATATATAAATATATTTACATATGGACATGCCTGTATTTAGATCTCTATAAATGCCCTTTGCCTACTAGTTCTTTCCTCTATTTCCTTTTACTTTCCTCTTGTCCCACTATCATGTTCAGCCTTCATTTGGGTTTCAATAATTCCTCACAGTTACATTGCCTTGATCAAGCCCTACCAGGCCTCCTACACCCTCCCCACCATCTATTTTGGATCACTTGTTGTTCCCTTGTCCCTGGGTTTGTTAATACCCACTTCCTTTCCTCCCACCTCCCCGTCTCCCATGTCCCCTGGAACTGTTGGTCCTGTTGTTTTCTCCACCAGATTGTTTATCCCGCCTATGTTATCTAGATAGACCTGCAGAGATAATAATATGCACAAAAAAATAAGACAGCAAAATAAAGCACCAAAAGAAAGCAAAACAACAACAACAACAAAAAACCAATGACACACACAAAAGAAAAGCCTGTAAATAGTTCAAGGTCTATTTGTTGACCTTTAGGAGAGTTTTCCCGTCAAGTATGATGTGGTGTCAAACCCTGGTCCCAAAGTCTATTTTTGGTACTCCCTGGGGACTGTGTTGCTCTGTTCCATTTGCTGTTCTGTTGCACACCCTTAGTGTTTTGCCTCAGTGTGGTGGGGTCAGATCGGGTGCAATTCCCACTCTGTGTCTCCAGTGTTGTCCCCCATAGCACTATGGGTCAGTGAGGGACATTGTGTTTCATAGTGGGGCTGGCCCTATGGCCCTCTCTGCGCTTTGGCTGCTCTGGGCCAGAATATTGTCCTCAAGGCTTGGTGGGCCAGGATGTGCTCCACTCTCTCTTCCTGCCCCTTCATTTGCTTCTGTGTGCTCTGATCAGACATGCCCCTCTCCCTGAGTTGTAGCTTCAGTGCTGTCCTCTGAAGTGAATTCTTCGGGGGGAGGGGGAGGCTGTCCATGTAGTTGGGATTGGGGCCAGCCCCCCGAGACTGTAACTCTTTATGAGAGTAGAAAGCCCAGTCTTTCTCCCGTGAAGCTGTGGGTGGTTTTGAACTGCCCACCGTGTGGATCTTTGATTCCATACTACTGCAATAAAGGAAGTTACATGGAATTTTTGGTTTCCTAATGTATATAAAAGTTATATTTACACTATACTGTGCAATAATAGTGTTATGAAAAATTTTGAAATATTGTGAGAATTACCAAAATGTCACCCAGAGCACAGGCCTTTGGAAAAAATGGTGTCAGCAGACTTACTTGACACAGAGGTGCCACAAACCATCTATTTGTAAAAATCAAAGGATCTGCTAAGCACAATAAAAGGAGGTATTCAAGAAAAGCAGCAAAGAAAAAATGTGATTTAAAAAAAAGAGAGAGAGCAAAGAATTAAGACCAGTATTATGTTTTAGGTTATTGAACTTGGATTTGATCAGCTACCAGAGAGAGATGAAGTTGTCAGTGTTCTGAAACAGGAGCACACACGTCTGCACACAGGCTACTTTGCCGGTCAGTGTTCACACAACAGGTATTTGTTAACTGGGAAAATAGGGGTTTCAGTGTTCAGCTATTACAATGTTACAGCCTTCAGGCGCAAGTCTCAGCGATCACAATAGGCAGCTTGAGTGCCTGAAAGAGCCGTGCCCATGGCGGTGCCCCAGTGGCACGTGTCTCATGCAAAGAGCCGTGCCCATGG